AACTTTGCTATAATTTGGGGATTTCTGCCTAACAGAAGTCTTACAAGTGCTGGAGCAGGTATCTTCAAAAGATAGTGGAGAACCTGTACAAATACAGACTTCTGTCTGGTACGAACGGGTTAAGAGTCTTACTGTGGTATCAGCTTGCGTGGTGGCAAAATATGCTGGAGCGTGGATCTACTCCCTCACAAGATCTCAGGAAATTAGTCTGAGTTTATAACTGAATTGGAAGGAGGAGATAATTGCTGCCTTCGCTAGGACATGTGTCAGCTGTCTAAAGTGCTGTGGACTGAGACTTTGGTTTAAGAAAAGAGCAATACCAGCAACTCCGTAATCCTTAACTGTAACACTCAGAAGTGTTTCTGTTGCAGGGTGATACATCTTGGGGGAACACTGATCATTCTAAAAGGGTTTGGTTTGTTTGGGGTTTTTGGTTGTTATTTTTGTTTGTTTGTTTGTTTTAATGAGTAAGTGAAGGCAGCATTTAGTCTTAAGTAAAAGGTGGAGAAGATATTTCTATACAAAGAACCATACTGGACAATGCTGTTGCATCAGGGAGAGCTAGTCCAGAGGAAGCATGTGGGGGGAGGCTGAAGTAATGAGATTAATATGGTGGTGTTGAGTTGGACTCTGCTAGAAGACAGCAAATGCCTAAACCCTTAAGCCACAGTCTGCTGACCATTACTAGCAGAGCTGCAGAAGCCTGTACTCATACTGTTCAGCAACTGCTATAGGTGGTGCAGCTGCGTTCATGTCATGCACAAACCTCGGGGCCTGAAAGAGGTATCTGCTGTTAAAGGGAGGGGAGAGAGCACAACGTGGAAATAGGAGGTCGAATGTACTAATTTAGGGCTTGTTTAGTGTTTGGGCTTCTGTCCGATTGCTTCATGGCATCTTTGTCTCTTAAAGCAGTTTCAAGGCTTTGGATCAGGTGCTGAAAGGCTTTACTCGTCTGTAAACTGGTAAGACTCTGAAGATCAAATTGATGCTACAGAACCTAGATTGGCTTAAGATGCTTAAGTAGCTTTATAGCTCTTAAAATGGCTTATGCCCTATAAAACTTAGTTGGAGTGGGGAGAGGAGCCTGACTCTTGCTGCCTGATTGGGATCTACCTGGGTGGAGGAGGACGTGGCTGGAAGTCACTGGAAGGCCTCCAGTCAGTCTTGCCTATTAGCAGACTGCAGAAGATGCAAATTCAAACCAGGTATAGGCTGTGCAGGCAGTTGAATCTTAACAATCAACCTTGCAGTAAGAGATTGAATCTTTTTGCTATGCCTCCAAACCAGCAAGCGCATCTTCCCCCTCTTTGGCAACAAACTCTTCCCCTCATCTTCCCCCATCCTCTTTTGCTTGCTGAATTAAGAGCTGGAGTCATAGTAGGTTTGCCAAATGTATGGGCGGTGGTGCATAAGTTTGGCATCTCAGTGCTTAAACAAGACACAAACACAGAATGTCCAAGAGGGTGAAGATGCCTATGTAACAGCAGAACTCTAATTTGGTTAGGTGCAGGTCTTGTGGATTGGTAATTTAAGTAGCTTTGTCCAAAGTATTGTTTGGATCTGGTCCTAGAGCCTTGGGCTAAGGTGGAAGCTGCAGACCTGGGTAGCAGGTAGTATCTGAAGAAAGAACGATGTCTGAGACTAGGCAGGCAAATATCTGGTTAACAGTGTTTGCTTAAACTTAACAGCTTTTCTACCAGTGCAGGAAGTTCCCTCCTTTATGATTCATGATGTGCACAATCTGTGCTGACTGTTTATCCTGAGTAGTTACCTGGGAAAGCTTTAAGCACACTCTCTAACCTTAACAGAGGAAATTGCAACATGATTAATGGTAGCAGTTGTGATGGTAACTCTTTGCTAAGGCTTGCCAAGCCTTCCTGAGCCACTTTGTGACATTCAGTTGAACTTGTCAGTAATTGATTCAGGCATCCTTGACAGAAGTTACCTCATGGAAGTCTCTCAAACACCAGCTTCTAAAATGGCATAGGTGACTTAAGTACTAACCTCTTAGTTATCCTGAGTTGTTGAGGACAAATGAGTACCTGTTCTGGAAAAGCAAAATCTTCAGTTGTAATCTCTTGCATAGTGAGCAAAGCCCCACTGCTACTTGTCTCTGGAGCAGGTGTGTCCTTAGGCTTCAGGATTTCTTCAGGTACTGGCTTGCAGGTGTTGTCTGCAGTAACAGCCAACTATTGAATCTGGGGCAAAGAACAAAGATACTCGAGCATGCACAATAACTACTCTAAGCCACATAACAGAAGTCTAAACTTAAGCTTCCACTCTAAAATGTGTGTCTTGTGTGGGGAAGGCATGGTACGTCTAGCAGAGTGTGGCACTGCAGCCTCGGTTCCACCTTGAGCCAGCTGGATGTGCTCTGAATTACTGTGAAGAGTGAGGAGGAGGAAGGCCATGCAGCGGGATATTTTGGTCATAGGAGGGTCCTTTAGAAAGGCCTCATAATGAGCTTGTTTTCATAATGTAGAGAAATTTTGATTCCTGCCATTGCCCATGTTGAGACTGTTGAGAGCTGCTAAACTCGTCAAAAAGCTTCACGCTGCAGAGCAAAACCTTTCTTTTGGTTCTGTGTGGCTGCTGTCTGTTATCCCCATCCTGCTTTGTTTCCTTGGGGCCATCACTTTAATTTGGTAAGTCCCTTGGAGAGAAATTCATTCCTCCTCCAAATGTACCACACTAACAGCTATCAGGACCCATCGTCTTCAGACTGCCTTTAGGTAGTATAGGGGAGTGCTGCCTTGCTGTGCCCTGAATCCCTGGGAATGCTAAGGAGCTACAGGGGAAGAAGTGGATAAACTGTTAGGCTGGCAGGGGAGTACTTGTCTTCCCTGAAGTGGGTAAGTTAGGGATGACAGCCTAGAAGTTGTCCTACTGCAGGTTTGGAAGGGTGGACTGCAGTCCTCTCTCATTACAGCTGGATTGGTTTGTACTTCAGGGTGAAAACCATCAAACTTCCCTAGGTGATGAGGAAGAAACTTGTTCAGCGAGACAGCTTCCTTCATCACCAGGTAGGATTTGTAGCTGAGAATGAGTGAGAAGTGACGCTGCCGTAAACTCCTGCAGGTAAGAAAGCAGGAGGCTGATGTGTTTTGGCGGCTTGTTTGGGAGGTGCTATAGCAACCCAGCTGTATGGCCACTAGAAACTCTAGAAACTAGAGAATTGTCTCTGGTGACTTCTAGGCTCATGCTCAGGCTACATGTAAGCCAGGGCAAATGCAGAATTCAGCCTCTCATCTGGAGGCTCAGATTTGTAACTTGGCAAACCTTCCCTGTAAGCCAAGGGTTATGTTCTAGCAGTGGGCAATGTCCTGTACTTGTCCCTCTGACTACACTGAAGATGTGCTAGAGAGTTTGGCCCGTACATGCTTCTGTCTGTAGCGGTGACAGGCCAGGTCACCGGTCTTAGACTGGCGATCCAGATGTCTCTAGGGACATGAAACCAACTTTTGCACAATCAAGATGCAGGAAGAATACCAGGTTTTTTCGAATGGATGGTAGACAGTTGGACTTGATAATCTTAAAGGTCTTTTCCAACATTAATGATTCTGTGTGATTCTGTATGGGGTAAAACTGAATGCAGGGAGTTTCCTGTAAATGACAAGTACCTATTAGTGTGGTTGGTTAGTAGAGAGTATATTATTACTGTAGCCATGTTACAGTTCTCCACTGCCTCTGGGTGCATTAACTAGAATCTGTGGCCAAAGTTTGACTTTTGTCAGGTGAGCTTTGCAGTATTTCTGGCAGATGTCCACAGTCATGTGTCAGAAATGCAGAGGGGCATTGTATTTTCTTCTTTTCAGTGGGTTGGGAAAATAGCAGAGACCTACGTTTCAGGCTCCAGCACTCACATTGTTAGGAACCTTGCAGATAGTCTGCACCAGAAGACAATGAAGATCTGCAGCCTAAGGAAACTGCTCTTTAATTATCTGGAAGGTCTGTTCTTGCGCCCACTGCCTGCAGTGGAAATGGGAAGTTAAAACTTTCACAAGTGGTACGCTTTCTCCTTGTGTCCCCAGGGAATACATTGCCCAGGCTTGACTTGGATATGCTGCAAGACTCCGTTACTTCTACAGCTTTGAGCAGAGGGTGGTGTAGTGTTTCTGATTGGTTCTGTCTTAAAACATCACTCTTACGGTGGAGGAAAAGATTAACTTCTAGTTGATTATGCACTTCTGTGTGCAGGCTGCAGTAAAGAACACAGGTGAAGGTGTCGTGTTTGGGAGGAAATCATTGCTCAGCTGTAAAGGTGATCTACACTGCTAGTAAGCTTGTTTTTTCAGTGAAAGAAGCTGACGTTGGAAGAAAAAAAAAAAGTAGTGAAGCACTGCAAAACTGTGCTGAGTACCTCTTTTAAGTAAGAAGCACTTCTGCTTCCTAGGGCTAAATCTATACCCCCAGCATGAAGTCAGATGGCTTATGTAAGTTGATCTTTCTTTTTGGTGTACGTGTCAAAACATAAATACATTTCATCAGGACAATGCATTCCGGTGTTACCGGTTCCTGGCGTAACTGGCAGCTCTAAATGGTGCTGGCTGAAGGACCAAGGACACACGGCAGTGCACTTCAATAATCTTTTTTAAAAAAACAAAACAAAACCAAAAAACCCTCATACCCAGATATGTTTAGCCTCATGGGCAAAAATCATAATGCACATTAGCATGTTCATTAAAAAACCTAGGTGGTGTTTATAGCATAGACTTCAGAGATGAGTGCTGCTTTCTCCTATTCTGAGCTCTCATTACAGTGTGATACCTGGGCAGCAGAGACTGGGTTCTGACTACTGGTTATTACACTGGTGGAAGCAGCTGGAGAAATAGTTATGCACACAGAATTTTCCATTAATCAGAGGAAAAAGTCGTACACAGATGGTATATAGGATAGATTACGGCTAGTAATCCTTTTGTGTCCTAGAAGATTAAGGATATCCTGTCGTAGCTGCAGTCAGCTGACCTTTTTTTATTTAAACGATTGAAAATTCTTGATGCAGTTCTGCAAGAGGACCAAGGCTGTTCCAGAAGCCATGAACTTCTGGTGCACTACGAATGTTTGTTAAAGGTACGGTCTGTTTAAGTCCAGCCCCGATGATAAATTAACAGGTACTTTGTGCCATGTAAATAGCAGCAGTTACAAGATGGCTAAGAAATCACTTGCTAGACAGCTCTATCAAATCTAATAAAAGTGTAAGAGAGCTGAATTTTATGAGGAGATATAGTGAGTGTCATGTGAAGAAACGGAGGGTTTCTGAATCCGGCTGTCCGGATTGCCCCAGAAAGCGAAGATGAATTCTTCAGTGGAAGAAGAGGACGGTTGCACGCTCTGAATTTCCTGGCATGGATCTGTATGAAGATTACAAATCGCCCTTCGATTTCAATGCTGGAGTGAACAGAAACTATCTTTACCTGTCACCTAGCATAAACCTTTCTCCACCCGGATCACCTACACTGGCGAAGTCTGGTAACTTCTCTTTCTTTTTCAAAACCTCTATGTGGAAAGCTTAGTGATTAATATCTGTAAAAAGAAACTGGCCAAATTAAGAATCCATAAAATTTGTCTGAATCACAGGTGTAAATGAAGGTAAAAGTTGACGTGCTGATAACTCTGGTAGTTTATAAGCTTCAGTGTGTCATGTAGGTAATATCTCATGGGCTGTGCATTTACCGGCTTTACCTTATTTGTTATTTCTTAATTCAGTAGAAAGCCAGTTTGAGGGGGAACAAAATGAGCAAAAAATAAGGAACAAAAGGGCAACTTCTGCAAGACTGGAGTAATTGGCCTAGTTTGTCTGTTTGCTTTTTGAAGGGGAGGTAAGAATTCCGTACTTTACTGTGACTTCAGAGCTGTGGATATTCTAACATCTGCTCTTGCCTTAGTACTGAAAATATCACTGCTTAACGAAAATGCCCTCTGAAATGTTCACTCTGTTCCACCTAGCATTTAAAATGCTGTAAATCTTACACCTGCAGATACTAACTGTACTTGCGCTGCCCTGAGGAAGCGGCTGTTGCATACTGTGCTGCAGCGGCATCCTTCTAGTGCTTAACCCTACTAGTTTCTAGCTGGTAACCTGTTGTACAGAACAGCCGTGCCTCCCAACACATCCTAGTCTGGTTTTATCACCTTTCCCTTCCATTCTGTGCTGCCAGACATGATCTTCCAGTGTAATTACAAATGTAGAAAGCTTAGCCCTACTTCAGGTGCGATGAAGCAAAGCAAAGTTACAAAGGTGTTGACTTTTTGATGGGCTCATTCTTTATAATCTTAAAGAAACGTGCATCCCTTGGGGACTCTCTGTGTGAACTAAAACAAACTCTTCCATGAACTCGATGAGCTAGGGGCCTCTGGGGAATGGTGTTCAGCTTTCACTTCTGCAATTACTGCATCTCTCACCTCTTCTAAAGCGGAGGGAGCAGTCCTTTGTATCTGGCGGTGATGCATCACCATAAGCACCAACCTTTGCTGGGCTTTTTGTTCTTTTTCAGTCAGTTTGAATGAATATGTCATTAGTGTTTGGGAGAAGCCCAAGAACTTTCTTTCCTGAGTTGAAGAAATATGTCTCGCTTTGGCTTTTTCACTGAGATAAATGGGAAGCACTTAAAGTTGATCTTTCTTATATATTGCAAAATAAATATCCTCTGTAGCACTGTACATTACTCAAATGCTGGAGTGATTTTATAATCTTGTAACAGCTTGTTCTCCTGAGCTCTAACAAGCACCTTTTTTCTTTAGCTTTGCCAACTGTATAGTGATAGCGAAAACACTCATTCTGAGTGTCTGACACAGAGTATGTCTGTCTAAAGATAAAGCTTTGCGAAGGCTAACCCTCCCCCAGCCCAAAGGCTGCTCATCTGAAATGACCAGTACTTCCTTAAACTGTCAATGTTTACTGCTAATCTCTGAATTCAGGCCAAAAAGAGGTAGGAACTTGTGGTCAAAATAGAGCATGAACTTGGGTTGAAACCAACCAAAGCAAACCCCAAACCAGAAGACCTGAGTGTAAATTGAATGGGTCTAATGCTTTGCCTACCCCGGCAGAATAATAGGGACTTAAGTGCTGTTTCCCTGAATGTGATCTGTGGAGTCCTACTCAACTAACTTGTTCATGTATTTATTAGGTTCATTTAAGTAGCTTTAATAAACTTCTGGGATAATATGTTAATCTTGGAAATACAGACACGTAAAAACTGACCTTAAAACTAGGTAGGTTTTCCCAATACCAAATAAGTCTTCCCAATTTTTTTCCCTCAGCAGAATTTTTCGTCTGTTTAACAGACATGAAATGCTCAGCTAAACTTGGTTATAGCAATCAGAGTACCAAATGACTGAATTTTAAGTTCTTTGTAGCTCTAAAGATGCAAGAGAACTAACGTAACGAAAGATAACAAGTTGGAAGCCAGTAACAACATCTCTGCTGGTGAAAGAGATGACCACGTGTGAGAAATGCTCTCTTAATAACAGATTGAGCCAACGTATTTCTGTCTGTTGGTTGACGGCTGTTTCCTTGGTTTTTTGCCCCACACCCCACAAAAATATGTAAGGTGAGCTGTGCACCTTGCCTTACAAAGCTTGCTCAAAGCCAGGATCTTACTGTCTGTCAGTCCTAGTTTATAGGGTATACTTGGGTTGTGGCCATGCCATTGTGGAGGTCTGTGCATTGTTATCTGTGTAGACAACAGCTTCTTGGTCAGGCTGCCTACCGCGGTCTTTCCATAGCACAGATGAACCCTGTGTCCTGCAAGTACTGAAGTGAACTGAGGGATGGAAGCAAAGTGAGCAGAGAGGTGAGCAGTAATAGGAGATGAGAGAGGACGTGCCAGAATAAAGACTGATGGGAAGGTGTTTGCATACTTCAAATGGAGCTTAAGGAAAAGTAATAAATGGGGAGGAGGGCAGAAGGTGAGGAGAGGAAGGCATGGTTAGATGTACAGGGTGAGGTATAGAGCACTCTGAGTAGCAGTGATTTCCTATCTTCCTAAAAGATCTAGAAATGGCAAGGGGAGGAGAGATCATTCCTTTGCTTCTTAGCATTGTGTCAAGTTCAATGTAGGCAACAAGCAGCAGAATTCCTTAAAGCACTAGTTTTCCAAAGAGAAGGTACATTCCCAAAACAGCCAAACAGAGAAGCTTTTGCTGCGGGAAACAATCCAACATGTTTTCCTACTGCTGGATTCACTTGATCTATTTTTGGTGAGATAATCCAGATGACTCTTCATAACCAGATTGAACAGACTTTCAGCTGGATGTGCTAATGCTCTTGGAGTCAGCGTGGTCTTTGGTACATGCAGACTTTCTGAAATGGCTTTGCAATGGCAAGCTCTGTCATCCCTGAAGGGCCTGCGGATGGAGAACAAGGTCAGGAGTCGGAAGCTAACATACTGGGGGTCATAGAGTGTCGGGGGAAATGCACTTTAAATTGTTAGTTTTCCTTCAGTATAGGCATGTGAAATTAATAGGATAAATAGTAATTTGACAAAAAGGTATGGCATTCTTAATCATTTGATGTTAAGAAAAGGAAATATATTGATGTATAACACAAAAGTTATCTGACTGTGAGACATGAGCCGTAATCCTTTTTTTTTTTTGGTGCTGTAGTGCTTGTACTTTGGTTTGGGGATTAGGCTCGAACTCTTCTGCCGCCCTAAATTTCTGCCAGAAGGTAGTGTATTGGGAAACCTGTAGGAACTGTATTATATTTGTGTAGAAGACAGATGTAAATCTCTGGGAAAATGTATAGATTTCATAAATAAATGCAGAATGGCGTTTCAGTTGCTTTCTATATGCTTCCTTCTCAGTGTACTCTGTAGTAACTTACCATTTACAAACGTTCTGCTCGTGTAGCAGTGTGCTTCTAGAGGATTAGTGTTCTGGACACAAATGCAGGCAGAAAACATACTGTTTTGGAAAGAATTTGTGGAATTGAGCTTCACCTGAGTTCAGTAACTTGATCAAGAACAAGGCCTCTTCTTTTCTTAGGCTTGATGGCTGCTAGGAACATGTTTCATAGAATACCTACAACTAACTACGGACTTGCAGAATCTTTTTTCCCCCCTGACTTTTCTGTTGATTGTGATGTAGCTATTTGATATCAAGCCTCACAAAGAAATCACAGTGGTGGTCTCATTGCACATTAAAGAGTTTTTTAGATTCCACAGATGAAATGGTAGTATGGAGTGCCATTACAAGCTGCTGAAATGAGGATGGAATTCTAGCTGGTTAATTACTATAGTGATTAGTAAGGGCACATTACTTAAGTCCTCAACTTGTCTCAATTATGTATTCATATACATATACACACACAAACACCCCCCCTCTTCTTACAAGCAATCCATCCTGTTTTTTTTCTTCTATTTTAAGATTTTTATTTAATTTCTTTTCTACTATCTATAAAGCTTTCTTGCCTTTGAATAGAGAAATAGTTCTGGGAATCTACAACCATTCCGACATGCAGTCTCTCTGCAAACTGTTCTCTATACAGATTAGAACAGGATTCCTTAATTCTGGCAAACTTTGTTTAAGCGTCAGCTACAAAGAGTCAAAATGTGAAAACTTTTTCTGGAAAAAATTGTTGCTGCATTAAAAGATGTTTAAAGTGATCTTATTGTGAGCAGAAAGGACTAAGAATAAATGAATCTTTAAAGTGAGTGCATCATAGTAATACAAATAATATCATTCTCCTTTCCCTGAAGCTGTGAAGGTGAAAGTTGAGGAAGACCATAAGGGTGTTTGGGATTCATACAGAGGAGTTTGGCAGAGTTCTGGTTTCTGGGTTCAAAAGGGGAAGAGGAAGAAATGTGAGTGGATGCACATCCTTATCAGTCCCTTCTCAGCACTCCACCACTTTGTTTCAAGTGATGGCCTTTTGTTCCCAAGCTCCTTCTCCAGGCTTCTCATTTGTCTTAATGTCCAGGCACAAAACAGCAGCTTACTTCTAGTTCCATGATATCTGTGACTTTCTAGCCACAGTGGTCCCAGTTACTAGGGTCAGAGAGGTTAGCAGGGTGCGGGGGAAGAGTTAGTACTAGCAGTGCAACCCTTTTCTCTGCTGTTGCTGAGCTTGCTTGTGGCCATGACCGCTCCCAGTGTGCTGAGAATGGGCTTTTCTTTAGTCTGATCCAGAGAGTGGGGAGAGAGGGAACCTCTGCATCAGTCTTGAGCACCTCCAGTGCTTCCAGATTTTCTGTGCCGTATGAGTGAGAGAGAGCAGAGAGCGCATGGAGTCCTGGGCAGAGGTTGTGTAGGAACCACTGGTTGGGACATGGCGTTCTGTGCCTAGGTCTCTATCAGAGTAGTGGGATGCGTTGTTCTCAACATATTTCCAGTCTCCTATTATAGCCACAGTTGCAATTATATTGAGATTTAATGCAACTTGAACGAAACAGCTAGTAAAATGCCTCTGGTTGCCTATATGCCATAGTGCTTGGGATTCGTGACTTTGGTGTCTTCTCATCAGTTTTCTTTGTGCACTGGCACAAAAGGGCTGTATATTAACGTTAGCAGCTATCTGTCAGGCATGTACTGATCTGACTTTTAACGGTTTCTTCACCTCAAGGGCTGCTGAGAAGTGACTCTATACCTGAAGTTGGAGAGGATGCTGCTGCTACAGTTGGTATGGCAGAAACACTCTCAGAAGAAGAACAGGATGAGCTAAGAAAAGAGCTTGCTAAGGTAAATCTCTTGCAAATAGCTCTTAAACTGGTTTTGAGAATGAAAATCTGGGATAATGCTGTCTTTGAACATACAGTTAATGCTTTGCATATTTATTCTGTGAGTGTCTAAAGCTGGGTGCGGCACTTATGTGTATTGTGAGGAGGGAAAGGGAAGGTGTCAAGGAGAAAAGAACTGCCAGTTCTAGCTATGGGGAATTAAGCTAGCAGTGCTGAGTGTACAGATCTTAAACCAAGATGGATAAATGCCTAACCCTTTTTTCCCTCAAGTGAGAATAGGGTAAATAAGCTGTCAGAGAGAACATGGTTGGAAGCCAGAACCAGGTGTTGTCTCAACTGGTGTAGAGTAACTAAAACTGTTGTTTTCATGAAAGATGTTTTGTAGGAATATCCACGTAGATGCTGTTTTGCTAATGTCTCACCATGTAACTGTTCTGGCTCATAGTTCATACAGCAGAATTTTTTGAAAGAGCGAGTTAAAGTAGCACTTTTCAAAGAACAGTCAAATATTCAACCCTGATACATGCATTTCAAAAGTAGTCAAAGTCAGGCTTCATTGAGTCACCAGTCTTTTTTCCTTTGTAGCTCTGTGTGACTTTAGGCCCCTAATAAAAGACACTAACTTAAGCCTAAGGTTGGCAAATGAAGGTTAGCTGTGAAATAAGCACACTTAATGCAGTCTTGGTTTTGGTAGTCCTGAGTATTATTTCATGCCAAACCGATCAGCTGAAGATGGTGAGGGAAATCTGGTCCTGCTAGCGTACATCACACTCTACTTTGGACAGGTATCCAAAACAAAGGTGCATTGAAGATGCTGGTATTTCCTCAAAGAAGCTGAAATGAGTGGGCAGCCTGATACTCCAAAGTAGGGTGGTCCAGTCTGGATGAGGAAGCAGGGTTGGATGTATGCCTTAGCCTTTGTACGTATGATCTTAGTGCCTCTGTCACATCTATATAGCCTATAGAATGATGTTGTAAAACTGTTTTGACATCTCTGATCATGATCTTGTCGCGCTTCTGTGAGAGGCTTAGGTGACCATCTGTGTAAAGAAGGAAGTACACAAACAATGCAGTGTTCTAGTTGGTGAACAGGTGTTTTTGTTGTTGTGGGTTTTTTCCTCCTTTTTCTTTCTGTCCGTCCTTTCTGTCTTTCCCCCTGCTTAACTGCTCAGTCTGCCACCTTTTCCACCCCTGCTCTGGGGGGTGCACGCCTGTGGCTGGATCCAGCCTGCAGTTGCTGGCTTAAGCTGCAAAAGAACGTTTCTGTTCAAGCAGGGAGAGAAAACTTCTGTATGGGTCAGACATGCTCTGAGCTTCCTGATACTGCTCATACATTGGTATTTCTTCTAACGTGGAAGGAGAATACAGGATTGGCAATTGTCCCAGGTTTGACTAATCTTCAAGCTTCACATAGGCTAATGTTGTCTAACAGTAATGATTTCTAACAATACAGTCTTTTAGTCACCAACTTCCTTGTGCATATTCCAGTAACAGAGCTAGCTGCAGGTATATTACTTTCTCACCAATTCTTGTTGTAGATTATGTTGGATTTTCCTTTTACTATTTAGGAACAACTGTGAGGCAATGTTAAAAATGCGTTAGCCCTCCCATTACTGATGCCTAGTAGACGTTTTAATAAATACATAGTTAAATGGCTGGCTGTATTGCTTCTTAATGTACTTCTCATCAACTCTGCTGCCACAGGTGGAAGAGGAAATCCAGACGCTCTCACAAGTGCTAGCTGCCAAAGAGAAGCATCTAGCAGAAATCAAGAGGAAGCTGGGAATTAACTCATTACAGGAACTAAGGCAGAACATTACCAAAAGCTGGCAAGATGTTACATCAACCACGGCGTATGTACCAGTTCACAATGTTTGTCTCAGCTATTGAGGTGAAAACTATGTAGTTCTTGTGTCATGTCTAAACCCTCTGTTCTTGTGAAATGAGGTGAGTGTAGATAACACGAATTTAAGTTGCACTAAAACTTACCTGGATAAATCATCATAGGTGTCTTTAAAGAAGGCCACTATTAGCCATATAATCTCATGCAAAATAAGAATGATTGACCATAATATGGGTGACTAATATACTTTTTGTCTGACAGACCTGAGACATCAGTACTGTGACAGCAAGGTGTCCTAAGTCCAACAGAATACCCTTCTTTTCCAGGCTGAAGAATTGTTGTAAACTGAGCTTTTGCAGGAAGAGTACAAAGTCACAGTTAATGTTCTTGCCAGATGCAACTGTTAACTTAAGATCTAAAGTGAACTAAAAGCCTTCTGTAATTAATGACCACACAGAATGCAAGAGGACTTACCTCAAACTTTTTATGGTGAAGTTTATTGACAAAACCATTCGGTACAAGATTTTAGACACTTGGCAGAAAAAATAGACCTCTGTTCTTTTTCAATGTGTTCACATGGTGTTGTTTTCTTGGTTTTGTTTTGTTTGGGATTGGGCTTTTTTTGTTGTTTGTTTGTTTTGAAGTCCTACTATAGCAGATAGCATCCGTTCTGGGGGTGGGGTAGTCGGTGCATGTTGGTGAATCTGATCTGGAGTCTGAGGTGGCGGAGATGCTGTAGCCAGAAAGGACTGCAGTGGCTCAAAATAATCTGTTCAGTAGCTTGTCCATTTGACCACCCCAAAGTTGAAGTATACCTCTGGGTTTGATACAAATTTACGTACACTAAAAAGTTCCTTATGTGTTCCATTAAAATAACTACAGGCTTAATTTTGTTTGAACACAGATACAAGAAAACATCAGAAACCCTGTCTCAGGCTGGTCAGAAGGCTTCTGCTGCTTTTTCATCTGTTGGTTCAGTCATAACCAAGAAGTTTGAAGATGTCAGGTAGGTTTCTTTAGCTTTTCCTAAGTAGTTGCATTTTTGATTTAAGCAGGTGATAACTGAAATAAATTTATGCTGTTAAGGTACCCAGCAATTTTAAAAGTTAATCTATCAAGAACCCTCAGCATCTCTTTTAGGAGAGCTGAGCGAGTTGCTACAAAAACTGCTTGCATGTCCTCACTGATGCAGAAGAGTTCTGTGGTGTGCATTTCATATATGCAAGAGTAGCAATGTATGCTATTACCTCCACTGCTACTCTTATTTTTCTGGTAGGAGTGCAGGTCGCAGCATCTCTGCCTGCCTCTGTGTGATGCACACAGCATTGTCATCTCTGTTCTCTGACTTTCTCAGCTTGTGGAATACTACATTTAAACAACTACTGTCTTTAACTGTTTGTGGTTTGGTTGTTAGGTTGTGTGTGTTTTTTTTTTTGTCTTGTGTGCACGTTCCTTTCAGATGTGTTTTATTTCTTTGTAAGCTGTTCTACCTCATAGCAGTGGCTTGATTTTATTACCTATTTAATAGACTATTGTCACTTTTTAATTCTTAAATATTGGCATACATTGACTTTGTGTCAAATGATATAGCCCTTCATGCAAATTAGGTAAGTTTGGTGGTCATTTTTAGCACTGTTGTGAGCTGCGTGCAAAACACTTCCTGGATGCAATCCAATTGTATGCTCAGCTTACAATTCTTTGTTTGATTATATAGGTTTTACAACCGGAACTTATACAACTATTCGTCTATGCTTGTACTTTGTGAATAGAGGATCAAACTTTTCAATTATTGGACAAATAAAAATTCACACATTCTAACAGAATATTGCTGCATTGGAAAGCAGTGTAATAAAATCAGCCCCTGGTTTTAAAGTGCTGCCATTAACCTCTTTCTTGCTTTTTGAAGTCTAGTGAGAAAACACTTTGAGGTGCAGCTACATAGTTACATATTTTTATTCAGATTTATCAGAACTTCCTTTCTCTCTTTAATGCTTACTGTGGCATTGTGCAGACTACAGGCATTTTCACATTCCTTTAGGTAAGGTGGGCGCAAGAATTTTTTCTGAAACTAAGCATGTAGCCAGACTGTCTCCATTAAAATCTTTAAATAAGTTTTGTCTGTAAAAGGTAATTTCTTTTTTTCTCCAGTTTTAGTTAATGTAAAACTGAAGCACTTCTAAAGTCAGAGAAGGTGTTTATTCGTGTTCACTTGGTAACTATCCCAGAACATGCAATCTTGAGAATACATAGTAATCAAGTAGTCTCTCTTCCTTGCAGGGAAGGAATATGTTAAAATGATACTGCAAGTTTTTTTGTAAAGAGACAGTATATGGTTTTGAGGTCAATGGCATGCAGGATTCCTCCTTCTCTTTGTCTGTACAGTGTTTGTGCCTTTACAGAGTAGAAATTTTCCCTTTTTTATGTCTATTACAATGGCTGTTTAGCATTGTGACTCTAATCAATCACTCGAGTCTAAATGTAAAATAGTTTATGCATTCTCTATTCATAGTTTGTCCAGTGAAAGAGTCCTTATCCTTGAATCGATTACTTTAGCAGCTCCAGACACTGAGTATTTTAGTTACCTTGTCTGCATTGCCTTTAATCTGCCTAGTCTAAGCAAATATTCAATGTTAAGTTTTCAGTAGTTAAAATTCCTGTGTGGCAACTTCTGTCTGTTGCCTCTCATCCCATCTATGCGCACCTCTGAGTCTGGCTTCTTTTCTGTACTCTCCCACTAAGTAAAAGTCTCAGCTTTAGCTGTTCTGCTAAAAACAGCAGTAGGGTCTCTATCAAGATTTAGGAATCTGGATCCTAGAATACTAACTAGGAGCTATAGCCCCAGGGGCCATGCCTGGGGAGGAGATGGGCAGCAGCATGGGATGCTATTAGAACTCCGTCTCTGAAGTGAGCTCAGTTTCCTCAAGTGTAAGAATAGCAGCCTGCCTGAAATATCTCCCCTTTAGCATCAGTAAGACCAAGGGAGCCTGGAAGATGTCTCTATACCTTTTGGATGCAGAGCTTGGCAGTTCCCTTAACAGGGTTCCCCTTTCTTCCTTAAGGCTTTGGTGTTCCCCTACTAGTATTAGTCCATTGCATTTGGCAAGGACAAGCACAGACTCATAGCTTTCTTCTGGCTTCAGGAATTTCATACCTCATAAGAAGAGTGTCCTAATTACTCAGGTTAGTGGCTAGGTGGGTGTTGAGTGCTCTCTATCAGAAACTGTGCCACTGGGAGGGAATGTAACAGGGCCAGAGAAGTCCACATGGTTGGTGTCCTTCCTGGGGAGAATCACGGCAATGGAAATTCAGGGTATTGTTATAAATTCATGAGCAGCTGGTTTTAAAAACAAAACAACCAAAAAAAGTGGGATGAATTAGTGCTGTTCCAAGATTTTAGTTGCACTTAAACAGGAGATAAAAAACCTTTGAGTTTTTCGCTTTCACGAGGACCAAGTTCATCTGTGATGCAACCAGTGAATTCAGGTCCCAGGGTTATGTGAAAATTCTAGTGGTGTCTACTTTTAAGACTGCACAAGTCTGAACTTTAGGAAGCTTTAGATGCCCAAGTTCTTTCTTGGAGATGAGAATTGATGGGCCTGATACTTACTTGAACGAATACTGAATGTGCAGGTGCATTTTTATTCTTAAACTCTTATGTGGCTTTGCTTTTCTTGTGCTGTTATAGATTAGGGACTTCTCAGCTGTAACGGCGTGATTTCTTCTGTATTGGACTATTTCTACATGTGCCATGCAGGAAACATCACATGCAAGTCTTCATTCTTGCACTGCAAAGTGAGTTTGGAGGGAGTTGTGAAAGGGAATAAAGCAGCTGGTGGAGCTGTGAACCTGGAAAGTACTGAAATAGAGAGGAAGAGAGAGGACTGGTAGTACAAAATCAGTGCATTATTGCTTCCTTCTTGCGTTTGTTTCCTCTGCTGTTTGTTATGATGAAAATGATCTCTGTTCCTTCTTAGGTTTCTCTTAATACCTTTATTCTCCTTTATAAGAATGTCTTGGAACTTTTGACAAGCTAGCCATCCGTGTGTTGGCAACATCAGTATTATGTGCAAAACAGCAGTATTACCAAGATGTAGCGCTCTGCAATTTCCTGAGCAGTCATGACTTTGCACTTAGTTCCTCTTGCGCTGCATCCATATTATGGAGCAGAAGTCCTCATCTTTGCCCTGTTCCGACATTGCAGAATAACTTTCTTTGCTTGCTTTGGAAATGCGATATGATCATGGACTCCTAAATATCATCATTTATCAGCATATCAGCTGGAAACCTAACTATTAACAGAAGCAAATAACTAGGGCTTATGCACTCTTTAAGCCTATGTTTTCCACGTAGGGACTTTGGCATACCTCCTTATGCATTTTCAAAATGTGAGGCAATGTATTAGCTATAAAAAATAATTGTGTAAAGGATAAGAAAGCTTTTAATGCAATACAAAATACATGGAAGGCTGGAGAGCAACTTATTGTGCCTTTTTTTGGTTTTATATTTTTTTTAAAGCTAGGGGTTTGCTTGTGAGCTTTGTAAAAAGGGCTTCTCTTCTTCAAACTGCCCAACTTGATGGCCTAGTTGAGTGAGTGCTTTAATGTGGCATTCTGTTGTCTGTGAAAAGAAATACAAGTTCTCTTCTTTGTAAAGCTTTTTGAGGCTTAATCGTGCTTCTTTGCACTACTTGAAGAACAGGTGGTTTGATGTTAAAAAGATCAACTGCATTTACCTAATCCAGTTCTCTTGCAAACCAGATCATTCTGTGATAAAACTATATACTACCTTATGGTGACATTTACAAAACGGATCTTGAGTATTTGTAATTGTATTGTACAACAGAACGTAAAACTTTCATGCATGTACGAATAGTTCTTCCATTAAATGATCTCTATGAGATGAAACTAAGCTTACCTAGACACCTGTTGAAACATCTGCAATAAACCATAGGTTGTTGCTTTTCAGTGTGAGCAGGTCTACAGATTGTAAATATATATGGGGAAAGGAAGGTAACATTCACCCTCTTTAGCCTTAAACTTCTTGCACAGGGAGGCACTTCTTGCATGGTGAGGGGAAGTGGCTGAGCAGGACTGGACAAAGAGAACTAATTAGTATCAGCCTAGTTCTGCACTAAAACTTGGCACACAGCAAGACCAGAATTTGTAGTAATCCACATCCCAGCAAGGAATATAAAGTACACTCCAGAAGACAATCAGCGTCTATGTGCTCTAGAAAAGCTTGTGAAGCCAAACCATCTGTAAAGATGAAACACAGCAGAAATGGGGTTGGGGAAAGGGATGAAACATGGCCACACATTACTGACGTGTGACAGGACAGTATTTGGCCTTTGCATATCTGATTCCCAGTACACTGTACCTACAAACCAACCTTCAGTTGTGCACCTGCCTTAAGGGATCCCAACCTTAAGGGTACTTTTTACATGTGCAGTTTTTTTTTCTATCACTGTCTTCTACTGTTGTTCAGTCTTCTACTGAAAGCCTCCTGAAAGAATGTCTTATATAATGTAATGAACACAGAACCTCTTTGCTTCTGTGAATGTATCTTGCGTTGTGCTTAAATCCTAATTGGAGTTTTGGAGGTGCATCAAATGTGAGGGATTCCAACCCGCCTACCAATTGCCAGGAAGGTATTCTCTTGAAAGAGATGATAAAGCCCCATCAACATTTGACATTCCAGATATAGTTATGAAAAACTGTGATAGTTTTTGTAACTTACTATTGTGGTATTTTACAAGAAACATTTAACGTATAAGACTAATTTGTATCAAGAATAAATGGGGATTTTCTAGAATATGGAACTAAATTAGATTCCAGATGGTCTTGAAGTTATTTGGGAGCTCCTTAATCTGTATCCAGTCACCTTCTAGGAGTAGTTGTGTGTAACTGTATAGCAACACTGGCAGGTTACAGAAATCCTTCATGAATTTCAGAACAGGGTTGAGACTAGAACTTTCTCCCTAACTCCAGCATAAACCTGACCACGAATATAGACTGATGTGACTGCTGTCACTAGACAATTTATATTGACAAGTAGATAATTTGTATTGATGAGTATGGAAATCTTACACTGAATTGAAATGGAAGGCTTCTGAATGTAGGAGTAATTCTTTCAGTTGTTTTTTAGTTGATTGAGAAGACTCTTGAGTGTTCACTTTCTACTTGGTATTTTGAAAACTGTACATGCAGCATGACTCATTGCTTGAGAAACTTAATGAGCAGACAGACTGTTGTAGCTAAGCAGAATATGTACTAACAAGCATGGCACTTGAATCTTTCTAAAGAGGAAAAAAGTTGTTGCAGCTTTTGCTCTGATGTACTCATGTGTGTGCATGGCTAAGCAATTTAAAAAAGCAAAACCAAGCAGTTACTGTATAAGACTGTTGGGCTGTTTACAAAGGTAGTATCCAGAAGTCTGCTCTCTAAGCCAGTTTCTTCTCAGTCTATCACTTTAACTAACTTCTTCCTTTCTTTTTTCTTAATGCTGGCATTTAGTATACGCTCCATACAACATTCAATTAGCATGCCTATTATGAGGTAATGTATGCATAATCCAGCTGATTGGTTTATTTATTTTCATGTGTGGAATCAAGTCAAATTGAACTTAAGTCAACTAACGTAGATTTATAACAAAATAAAAACCCCACCCAACTTTGTAATGGATTTCCTGTACTAACATATAGGATAAGATTTGTTTTATTTCTGCTTAATGGTGGTGGTTATTGCACATCTGGAATGTGACCAAGTGCACTTCCCTGCTGTTTGGAGATCTGTAACAACTTTTCCCTGCCTGTTAGAAATGTAATGCTACTAAATGATTTCAAGTTTAAAAGGCAATAGCTTGGCATCTGTTTTAGAACAACGAAAGTGAATAAAAAATACGGTGGTTTCACAAAAAGCCTCTTGCTGACTTGGATTGCTTGCCTTTTCTCTCCCCTTGCTTGGCACTGTGTCCCTCCATCTTCTGAGAGAGTCTGGTTTGATTTGTACATGTCACTGTGTGCTTTCCCAAATGGAAATGCTGCTAAGTCTGGGTGACCTACACAAATACCAAGCAAAGGGAGAAGGGAAGCTTAAGACCTCTTTTGAAAAATGCCTCCTGTCTCTCACCTTTATATAATAATTTTTTTTGAGTCTGTTACAAATCCTTAGTCCTGGTCCACTGAAGGCAAGCATTTTCCATCCTGCATAAAGGCAGAAAAGGTGTACAAGCTGTTGCATAAATTTGCAAATGGCAGTGGCAGCTAGTTGGAGCATTAAGCCACTCTGCTGACTGTAATAAATAATACACTGGCCCTTAGAATTGAAAATCCCAAGCTGTCCTGCTCTTCATATGCAGAACTTACCATTTGTAATCACAGCTGTCTCCAGCACTTAAAAGGCAAGGAGGAGTCTGCCTTAAATTTAACATGTTAGCAGAAAATGCCACTGCGAGCCATGTTTTGTTAACTGAACACATAGCCTATTAAGTTAAACCAGTTTTCCTGTAACAAGTGAAAAAACTCTGATGACAAGCTTTCTTCAGCAATAATGTACTAGGCTAACCAGAAGTGATGACTAAGCTTTTCTGAACAAATCCTTTAAGCCAGAAACCTGTTTGAAATCACTGGGAATAATAAGATAAACCCTATTTAAAATACTTGCTAGTTCTCTCTTTCATGTTGTGTTGAAAGATCCTATCACTGAGCCTGGCAATGCTTAGTTGCCAAAGATACAAAGGAGCTGCAACTTGAGTGTGTTTGAATTTTAGTTTTGTAGTACTTGGGGACATCCAGATCCAAACTATTTTTAGGCTACCCTTAAAACAAAGAAAGAGCCCCAAACAAACAAAACTCATGTTGACATTGGAAAAAGCAACTGTCAGCTTGTTTTCTGATATTTATAGACTAACCAGATATGTTTTTAATTCTGTGGTTCCTTTTTTTATTTCCTAGAAATTCTCCTACTTTCAAGTCCTTTGAGGAAAAAGTTGAAAACTTAAAGGTAAGCATTACTAAAACACCTAGGTGATTGTGGAGCTGTGGATGTGGACAAAAGACTGAAGTGGACTCTGAGTAGTCTGTTTTTTTAGTAAACTGTTGAAGGTGCTTAGATGACATACTTTTAATTACTGTGAAAATGTTTTTTCTGCCTCATGATTTGAGAACAAAAAATGGGCTTCCTGCACCTCTTACAGGAGGACATCTTTAACTAGAAGGACTAACAGCTAGCTAACCTGCACAGACAGCTAGTATAACATACCTAGTATTATGTACCCAAAATGGTCTAGGCTTTTATTTCCATGCGTTCCTAAGGACTAGTATCCTACACAGGAGTATAGCTTGGGATGTTTCTCTTATTCCTGGCATAAGATACACAAGGTCCTTGTACTGTAATTTAAAATTTGCCCACAAAGGCCTCAAGTGCCAGAAACAACAATTAATAGCTTAAAATAACTTTAAAAATAACTAATACATGTAGCTGGAACCAGATTTGACTGTTCTTGTGGACACACTGGGTTGGATGAGAAGCATGCAAGCATGGGGAACTAGGCATTCCCTTGCAAACTAATTTGCATTAACACTCAGAATCACAGAATCACTAGGTTGG